ACAATTAATTGGAAGTGGATGGTAGATTAATATTAAGCTCATCCACTAATTAATTAATTATTAATGCAGCAAGAAAATCTTTGCGATTTCACGTTGCTACTGCTAGGATTTGCCAATACTTTTCAAATAACATTATCCTTAATTACGTGTATGATATATAGCGGACAAAACTTTGTAAATATTTAAGTATAGAAAAATAATTTACTCTTTAAAAGTTTATAACTTTTTTAAGATTGATAAATAGTCATACAATAGGTGGAAGCATATATTAAAATTCTATTTTCAAAACTGCCAAATAATGTTTGGCAAAAGCATAGTGGAAGGATAAAAGAAAGTTAAGGGTCACATCCTATTAAGGCCCTCTAGCCACCCCAAAGGCCAAGAGTAGTGCCCTTGTATCATTATAATTAGAATACATCACATTTTGTTCGTGTTGGGCAATGAAAAATTTGATAAAGAATAGTACAAACTATTGAATAATCGACTTTCGATGGTGGATTTTTCGGGCTCAGTTTCACCAATCTCTACCTTATTAAACATACCTAACAATGGCTCCAACCCAAACAACAATTCTTATTTTAGTTGCTCAACTCAATGTGTTCACAAAGAGCACAATATGGTGACTGCAATAAATCACCAAGAATAGAGGAAGACAGATTCAATTTTAAGGCTCAAGAGAGAAAACTAGAGAAAAATGTCGGCTGCCTCTTTTCAATTGCACACACACGGCTCATTCAACAAATAAGAGCAATATATAGGTTTATGGTGTAATAATATAGTGGGCTCATGGACCAACTAATGGTTAAAGGGGGCGGAACACAAATTGAACCATCCAAGAAGTAAATGGGCCGTGAGCAACATTAACTATATTAAGTTGCTTCAAATGATCCTCAAGTTGTTTTTTGGGTTAAGCCAATTAATCGAGTGTGTTAATAAATATTTCAATCATCGGCCGAAGCCTATGAAATCTAATCCGACTATCCGACACTGTTTAACATCATCGCCCGGGATTGTTGGGCGCCCGAGATTATTCTGGTAGATTTCACGAGCCAAAACCTTCACCTTGAAACTCTGATACCAATTGTTGCGGAATCTCTCTCAAAAGGATTTTCAAACGGTGGTTTTCCAGGCTCAGTCTAATGTACCTTTCTCAACCAACAACCAGTCCAATCGGCTCCAAACCACAACCAATTGATTCACCTTGGTTGCTATGCAATCTTACCCACGTATGACAAGAAAGGATGATGATTTATGGCCACAAAGGCTAGGAGAAAACACCACAAATGTATAATATGAAAAAACCACCAATTGCACACGTTATACAAGCGTTCTGGACACTTCTGGACACCTTTTTCTCACACAAAAGGGGAGCAGCCGGGATTCACTATTTCTTCTCTCAAAATCACACAAAACATCATATGAAAGTGGCTAGGGTTATAGCCAAATATATACTCTAGGGTTAGGCTTTAAGTTGGGCCATTAAAGGGGTAAACGGGTCAAGATTCAAGCCATTCATAAGGAATACAATTGGGTCGGGTGTAACTCATGAACTTGGTTGTTGGATTTATTTCATTCATCGGCCTATACCTATGAAATAATATTAACCCACGTTAACATCATAGCTCGAGATTTATTGGGTATAAAAAACCCAACACAAACACCTTTTTTTAACCTTCTTTCATGTGAAAGTTGACCAACTTCTTCACACGAGAGAAGACGAGGGATGAACGACAATCGACATACCTAAATTTATACTAGTCATTATCGAGCTTGCTAAAACCCCATAGCCGATTGAATGATTGCATCCCATTGCCTCCAAAGGCTATCTATCTCTCTTAAAATGTTAACTATGTGATAATTGAATCGCTTGTTTATTGTTAAATCTCTATGTTCAAATGTCAAGCTTAGATAAAAATTAACCATTATTCAAGAACGAGCAAAATTTACATAATTTGATGTTACATTCAACATTATAATTCTAATCACCTCTAAGAATGTGGTTTGTCCTACTTAATTAGCATCTGACATAATTAAAGAATGTTTCAAACCTCCCATTACTGAAAATTGTCCTCACGCAACACGTCACGCGAATCAAGATATTCCATGGAGGGTAAAAAGAAATGTCGTTAATATGAATTAAATCTTCGGTGCATAATTTGTGTACAATATTAGATTAAAGTTTTTTTTTTTCGTAATAATTTATAATAGTATAACATAGCATTGTTGCGATTAACAATGAACATTGGCGGACCCACATTGGGTCCTAGTGGGTCAAGTGATCCACCAGCTTTAGAGGTTTTTTATTTTTATTTTTTATTATTACTATTTTTTTAATAGACTCCAAAATCACGAAGAAAAAAGAGAAGCCTTCCATTATCAAACAACAATTGAATTGATTATTTTTATTTGTAAATTTGTGATTATTGATAAACAGATTATTTTTTCAGTTGAATTAATTGTTTTAATTGGTTGTTTATAAAAAGTATAGAAAAATACTTTAAATGTAAATTTGCATTTAAAGTATTGAAAATAATATAATTATGGAACGTTAGAACGCATAGAGAACAATTGTAATAAAATATCAAATATCTTAAATTTTTAGCAACTTTTTCTTAAGCCCTCGTTAGGCCCCCATTATATTACATTCCATTTTTCTCTCATGTATTTCAACCACATAATCTTTCATAAAATAATATTACATATAAATTGAAAATTTTTCCTTCTTTTTCAACCATTTATTTAAAAAAAAAACAATATTCCACCCATTTTCATTTCTAGAAAATGAGGGCCAAACGATGTATAAATTTGATTATGCCCCACTAACTCCCAATATCTGCGTCCGTCATTGACAATGAACTAATGAATATTATTCAATATTCATCTTCTTTCGTACGTCGTAAAAATCCAAAATTAACACACTGCCATACTATTAAAATGTTACAATAGTTTAAAGGTATAGTGATGTAAACAATGGTTAAATTCCATTTGCTGTAACTGTACTTCCACCCTATATTAATCAGTTAATTGTAGGATAATTATACTTTAATTTAATCTCAATTGTAGGATACTTCCACCCTACAAAATTGTCAAAAAAATTATGCATATTATACATTTCACTAAAGTTATACTTATTTCCTCTGCATCTGACAATCATGTGTGATAAACATCACATATTAATTGTCATGCCATCCATTAGCATTAGTGGCACTGGATAAAATTATATTATTTGAAATCAAATTGAAATATAGTTACTCGATTGAAATCAAATAAAGTGTGTTTATCAAATTGAAATCATATTAAAGTATAATTATTCGACGATCGAAATTACTACAGTTACTAACTGAACTAGGATGAAAATATAGTTACTGCAAATGCAACTTACCCTATAAACAATACATATTATAACATTCTCATGGTCCCTTCTAATCAAAAAGTTAAGTGCCCTTTGAGTCATCAAATTATAAATATAATTAGAATTAATATAAATCATTTCTTAATCAAATTAATGATGTTTATCTTTACGAAAAATACTGTTACTTGTACATAATGAAATTACAGAATGATTCATGTACAAATAAGATGTCAAAAAGAGAAAAGAATATATATATTTTTTTTTGGTTGATTTTTTTTTTTATTTACCTAATCACATCTCACCATATCATGTATATGTAAATTATTATATTAATCATTATGTATATAGCACAACCGTACCCAGATTTCATCATCAAGCATAACAACCAATGCTTGATAATTGGCCATAAATTTTAAGCAATTTCTAATTGCATCCCATCATCACAAACTTCTAATCCACTTTCAAGCATTATATTTGTTGGATGATTATCCATTATTATATTATATCTTTTATGTGTTAGCTCTTTCACGTACATGCCATTTTGGTAAAAAAAAATTATTTATTTTTTTTTTTTTTAGTTAAAGACCTGATTGACCAAACTTGAACTTCACATTTCTATCTACTCCAATAACTAGATAAACTAATTTATTTAAATGATATATTTAACGAAACATAGAATTGAAGTTTTTTTTTTTTTTTAAGCAATTTCTAATTGCATCCCATCATCACAAACTTCTAATCCACTTTCAAGCATTATATTTGTTGGATGATTATCCATTAATATATATGCACAATATCATATATCATGACGCAATGTATACAGCGTTCCATCTTAATAAGATGTTATGTTCTTGGAGTTGAGCATATCGTCTAAAAATTTAAGTTATTATTGAAAAGGAGACGAATTTATTTATTTTAAGTATATATATCTTTTATGTGTTAGCTCTTTCACGTACATGCCATTTTGGTAAAAAAAAATTATTTATTTATTTTTTTTTTAGTTAAAGACCTGATTGACCAAACTTGAACTTCACATTTCTATCTACTCCAATAACTAGATAAACTAATTTATTTAAATGATATATTTAACGAAACATAGAATTGAAGTTTTTTTTTTTAAAAAAAAGAAGTAATTTTGTCCCTTTGGGCATAACCGTGAAAACATGTGAGGTTTATACTATATGTACATTATAGTGTTCATAAGGGTGTCTATAATGTACAAGTGGCTTAACATTATTGAAGAGTTGAAAAATAATTTTTTCAACCCTCCAATCATAAAATTTTACATGTACATTATGGACAACCTTATGGATACCATAATGTACATGTAGAATTATCCAACATGTAATATTTTTATTTGGTGAAATTAAAGGCTTATTTGAGTCACATTATTTTCAAAAAAATACATTCTTCAACAATGATTTGATATCATTTCAACCACACATTCTTTAATAATACTACAAGCAAATCTAAAATATTTTCTTATTTTTTAACCACACATTTCCCATTAATTTGACGTGAATGATGCATTTTTTCCTAGAATGTGGCTCAAACATTGGCTAAAAATAAAAAAAAAAGTACTTATTTTGAGTATAAGTTTGGAGTCGTAACTTTTTTTAGTTTAAGCCTTCTCTGGCTATAAAACCCATGATCCCCTATCCCAACAGGCTCATTCTATCTGCAAAACAAGCCTCCAATATAATCATCGTGATGATTCCATCTGTAACCTCAGAAATGAATAATTTCTTTGAATCTCAAAACCCTACAATTTTTCCTGCTGATTTCCGCAACCCTCAGGCATTACAGTTCGGCAGATTCTTAACAAACTTGCAAAATTGTCATTCATCTGTTCCAGTGCATGACTTCACACCAAACTCCTCGTACATCAGCAGTAACTCAACCTCTGATGAAGTTGACGATAATCAGGTCGATATAATCGACGAGAGAAAGAAGAGGAGAATGATATCTAATAGAGAATCTGCTCGAAGATCAAGGATGAGGAAGCAAAGGCAAGTTGATGAGTTATGGTCCCAAATTCTGCTTCTCAGAACGGAGAATCAGAATCTCGTGGAGAAGTTGAATCATGCGTCGGAGAGTCATGATAGGGTTGTTCAAGAAAATGCACGGCTCAAGGAAGAAGCTTCCGATCTTCGCCAAATGATGATTGATCTCAAAATTGGAGATTCTTATACTCTCTTTAGCGATTTTCTTGAAAATATACCTTGCAACACAGCTCATCTCATGGCTGAATCTTCTAACCTGTCCATCACTACTGCCACAAGTCTTCTTCACTAAGCTTCTTTAGAGAGAGAGAAAGTTATCCATTTACTTTTTTCTTTGTGTTAGTAAGTTGAATAACTGCTCAAGTTTTTAGACTATCTTGTTTCATCAGAGCAAGTAAATGTTTTTAGTTCAAGTCTCGCTGCTACCTACTTAAAAAAAAATGTTTGTGTTAGGCCAGCGATGAACATGTGAATCCGGCCTACACAGGAAGAAGTGACAACAGCTTAAATGAATAAAATTGCTCACTTTCAATAGTTTAAGTCCATGTTTGTCTCTCTTTAAAATAAAACTATTCAATTCTTATACTCATCACGTAATAAAATATTTTGCACTTAAATCCAAAACTTTTCCGTATTTTTTAATCACACATACTCCAAAAAATACTACTCAAAACATCATTTTTTCCCCCTAAATAGTGATCATTAAACAGGGGCTAAGCTTTTAAATAAACACCATGGGTTAGGTGTGCACTTGATTCAATTCGTGTTGTCATGTACTAATTGGCTCAGCGTGCATGAGATATGAAAAGTCCATATCATCTCGCCGCATAATTATTCATCTACTAGTAGAGAAAAGTTAATGAAAATAATATGCCCTTTAATCCCTAATGGACAAACCAGTCGTATCGAAGAAAATGTTTAGAGGAAAAAAAATGTTCAAGTCTTATTTGTATCAAATTTTGCGTGCTAAAACGAGTGGCTTGTCACCCTCGATGGCTGAGGCCCCATGGCCAATGTTGGGCTGCACGCAGTAGTGCAAGCAGTGTGGGACAAATGGTGGTGGAGATGCTGGTGATAGTGGAATATTATTAAAGAAACTACAATAAGAAAACAAGAAAATAGTTCTATCCACTGTTTTTTATCTTTTTATGAGGGCAGCAATTTGTAACTAGCCTTTATTGTTATCAATTCTGATGTCAAGTAGATAAGACTATGATTCAGGTGTTTCCATACATTTCTATTTTTGTCATGTCATGTTTTAATAATCATGTTTAACCCGCACTAATAAACAGGATTAGTTGATTTGGTAACAACATTATAAATATGTAGAGACGATTTGGCAGCACGATTAGTTGTTATAAACCTATATCTTAACTTCGTATTTTGTCCTTTTTAAAGTTATGAAGTGACACAATTTGGTGACCGAACATTCATAAATATGATGCATAGGAAGTTGTCAATGCCATTTGGCTCTAGCAATTGATCATTTTCCTTCATCTCGTCTCTAAAACAATTATAGAGATCATTATCACATAAGAAATTGTTGTCAGCAGTTCAACTCGTCGAAGCCATGCCAAAGAGCTACAATGTGGAACAATTTCAAATGTCATAGGAATCTACATTCTTGGCCGTCAAATAGAAAGTAGAAAATTCTCTTTATTCCTCCAATCATTCGTAGTTCATATATTTCATTTCTAAGTTGGGTAAAATTTCACGTGATTTAGTAAACAAAATAAAAATTCCATCCTATATGTATGGATTATGAGATTTCATGGATACAGGCCAATTCAAATAGATTTATTGGAAAGTTGCATTGATGTGCACCTAATACATTACTGCCAATATAACGTTGAGAAAGAAAACAGTTAAAAAAAATAAACCACAGAAATTTCATTAAAAACCTTTTTTAAACTGAAAATTTTCAATTTAGTAATGAAATATTATTCCAACTTGTCTTGGATAGACACTAGATGTCTAATCTACATTCACCACTTTGTGAAAAGTAGTTTAGTAATAATTATAGATATATGTGATTCGATTGGTAAAATGCTCTCTCTCCTCCAAAAAGCTGCCCTTTTTCTATTTTTTTTTTTCTTTTTTCTTTCTTTCTTTTTTGTGTGTGTGTGTGACTGTTGGATTAAAAAGTGAAGGTAGAAAAAGGTTCCTCTTATCTCTTATATTTATAATTGGGATGTCGCGGAAATCCCTCGAGAAATCTTGATTCCAGATTTAGAAAATAATCAAACGAACACCGATTTACCTCGATTCGATCCAGACCTTTCACATTCACTTTGGTGCTCCAAGAACTCTCAAACCCCACAAAGAGGAATGGATGGTAGCGGTGATAGGAAAAAGAAGAGGCAACAACGGTAAGGTTTCACTCCAAACAACCCCAAAGCCGGCTGTCCTCCCCTCTTTCTCGACCCTCTCTTCCACACACACACACACACCATAAAACGGTTGCTGGGAGGTTTGGTATATATAAATGGATACTAGAGCCCCGTTTGTTTCCCATTTATGTAAAAATGAAAATGAAAAATATAGCCGTTACAAGTCCCATACAAGAGATAGAAATTCAAATATGATGGCTTGATGTAATGGACAACAATCATATTTTTTATTTTAATGGGGAAAGAATGAGAAACAAATGGGGACTAGGTCACTTAATTTGGCTAACAATAGGTAAATGAGCTACTTAAGAACCAATGCAAACTTAATAACAATTGGGTCAAGACTCACATGTCCAACGACAATAAAACCAACTCCAACTTGGGCCATCCAAAAGTGTTGATCATATTCGAGTGGAGCCAAGTCCATAGTGTCGATAAATTATCATACAACTATTTTAAATCATCGTCCAAATTTATTGGGTATAAAAAACCTAACAAATCTCCACCTTGATACCCAATAAATCTGCAAGCAATCAAAACACAAAGTTTATACATGCATAATCAAGGTAATACCAAAAAAATTGGTATCACGGATCTTACCTCATATTTCCAACCTGAAACACTTACCATATCTGCTTCACGTACTCACTATGGCTAAGATCAAGAACACCCAAGTAGAAGCAAATATTCACAGTAAACAATCAAGAGCAAATAAATATGTGATGACAATATATTATAGGATAACACACATAGATCTTTTCAGAAACACATTCACACAGAACTATTGATTAACACTAAGTTAATCAAACACGAGATCAACCACATATACAACAAATGCATAAATGACCCACTAAAAGATCTCAACACACTTATCCTATCCTATTTCGTGTTGCTTATACCTTGAGAACACGTATCTCCGCTCATCGCCCACTATGCTCACTAGACTGAGTACTAAACATATATCTAACTGGTAAATCACAATAGATCCTAAGTTCTCGAGATAATTCCTTATCACCACATCACTTCTTCCAACCTATGTGGATAATGGGTCTTCATCTAACATAAGTAATAGAAGTGTCACTCTCACACTCCACCTGTACAAGGTCTTTTCACAGATAAAAGATTCCAACATTTAATCACCTCCCCACTTGTGATCCAAATGTCACACTCCACATCCCCTATGCATATCACCAATGCATCTTCAGGCATCTATACTCCACCTTACCAATAGATACTCAACACACTGCTAATGCATCTCAAACTCACTATAGCAAATCAACACCTTTCACGACCACAAAGGTTAGGGCTCAATTTAAAATTGACCCACACACCACAAGATTACTCAAATCACCAATGTTCAAAAAATCCACAAAGAAAATGGCAAAGGTGGCTCTCGTTAGGAGAATAGACAAAAGGGTTTGTTGTTACACTCTACTCACAAAAAAAGCTCACAAAGAGGAAGAAGATAAGCCTACATGGCCACCTCACACAATTTCACAAACCACACGGGCTCACAAAGATAAAGGAGAAAACAACTGCCCATCTTTCTTCTCATTACCATACTCTTACACCACTCACAGAGAAAATGGGGTACGCCACAAAACTCAACCTACTATGCATGAAAACACATTACATAAAGTAATAAAATCACTCTAATTCATGCAATTACACACATCAAACAAATTTAACATGTTGCATATCAACATTGCAATAAAATTAAGCGATCACACACATAAAGAAAGGATCATACACAAATACACATGTAGTAACTAGGTTCGTTCTCAATAAAGCTCACACATGTCATCACTCGACCCAATGACAACATTCGCCTAACCTCTCTCCTTATCTTTCCTTTTATTATTATTACTAGGACAATCCTCACCATGTCCAATTTTACCACAGTCAAAATACATTTTATTTTTCTCACTTGCCTTAGACCTATACATACCATCAATACCAAAAAATGACCACAAGCAAAGTATAAACATAATTCACATAAAATAATCAAATAAACTTTTCTAAGGTCACATGTAATTTTAACAGTATAAAAAGGTTGACAACAAATTCATAAAGAATTCAAGGCAAATAATTCCTAGGTCTAGCAACAGGCTATGGTTACCCCTTCACGGTAACCCCAAACCTAACGTCACCCCACACGATGACTTCTAATGCGAAAAATAAATAATTACCTACACAATAATTTTAACTGTAATAATAAAAGGTAAAAAACACAATACATAGTGGACCACGTCTGAAGGTTCGTAAATATCAAAAGACACGAATTCACCACTTTAGGATCATCACTATTCATCCTAAAGTCACCAGCAATCGTAGTAACACAAAAACAGCACCCGGTACCGAAACGTTAAAGGGCAAAATCGTCCAAATTTCACTGCATTGCTCAAAACTGAAATTCAACAACATCGCAGGGTCCGTCTCATCGCCGACAACATTCTATCTGAAGATCACATCGTCGGATTCCTCCTTATGCGCCTGCACACACCTTGCCGGCGTTTCCATGCTTCAGGACTAGATCCTCACGCGTCAGCGCTGACCACTACGCACGCCACCTCCAGACGCGCCTCCACCCACACAATCCACTAGTGGTCACTGTTTGTCCAAATGATGAGTAGTTTCGTCGAAAATCACGATTGCAGGTCCGACTAGAAATTTGCAAATCTCGGCAGTTTTCTGTGCCATTTTCCAGCCTCAATCCAAACCACTTCTAGCTCGTTTTAGCACCCAAAAATCATATATTTCTTGAAAACAGAAGCTCTGATACTATTTGTAATGAAAATACCTCTAGAAATCTTGATTTTGGGCTCAGAAAATAATCAAACGAACACTGATTTACATCAGTTCGACCCAAACCTTTCACCTTCACTTTGGTGTTCCAAGAACTCTCAAACCCCACAAAGAGAAATGGATGGTGGTGGTAATAGGAAGAAGAAGAGGCAACAGTGGTGGGTTTCACTCCAAATAACCCTTAAGCCGACCGTCCCCCGCACTCTTGGCCCTCTCTTCCACACCCTCATAAAATGCCTGCTGGGAGGCTGGGTATGTATAAATGGATACTAGGTAACTTAGTTAGGCCAACACTAGGTAAATGGGCTACTTAAGAACCCAGGCAAATTTAATAACAATTGGGCCAAGAC